ACTCCCAGCAGAATCTATGCTCCACGGATCTGGAACAAACTCCCAGCAGCATCTATGCTCCACGGATCTGGAACAAACTCCCAGCAGCATCTATGCTCCATGGATCTGGAACAAACTCCCAGCAGAATCTATGCTCCACGGATCTGGAACAAACTCCCAGCAGCATCTATGCTCCACGGATCTGGAACAAACTCCCAGCAGAATCTATGCTCCATGGATCTGGAACAAACTCCCAGCAGAATCTATGCTCCACGGATCTGGAACAAACTCCCAGCAGAATCTATGCTCCACGGATCTGGAACAAACTCCCAGCAGAATCTATGCTCCATGGATCTGGAACAAACTCCCAGCAGAATCTATGCTCCACGGATCTGGAACAAACTCCCAGCAGAATCTATGCTCCACGGATCTGGAACAAACTCCCAGCAGAATCTATGCTCCACGGATCTGGAACAAACTCCCAGCAGCATCTATGCTCCACGGATCTGGAACAAACTCCCAGCAGAATCTATGCTCCATGGATCTGGAACAAACTCCCAGCAGAATCTATGCTCCACGGATCTGGAACAAACTCCCAGCAGCATCTATGCTCCACGGATCTGGAACAAACTCCCAGCAGAATCTATGCTCCATGGATCTGGAACAAACTCCCAGCAGCATCTATGCTCCACGGATCTGGAACAAACTCCCAGCAGCATCTATGCTCCACGGATCTGGAACAAACTCCCAGCAGAATCTATGCTCCACGGATCTGGAACAAACTCCCAGCAGACTGGAAAAGAGCTGAAACATTCTTTAAAATGCAGTTTGCTTCTTGTAATGATTAAAACTTTGCAAACTAGTCTTTTTTCCCCTGAATCACTGACCTTTGACCCACACAGATACCCCCCCCCCATATTAGATTATGAAAAAATTTGAAAAGTAGCTTTAAAAAATCAAAGTGCAAACAAAAGTCCATTATAAAAGAGATAGATAATAAATAAATATATACATATAAATAGATCATAATTAATTAATGAAAATAATAAAAAATGTTTTAAAATATGAATACAATTTTGCTACATTTATGAATTTAATAGTCTAATAATTTAGCAGCATTTAATTATTTAATATATAAACGACTCTATATTTAATGAACCAGAATAATACAATAGAATAAAAATAAATGATTAAAATAAGATAATTTGAAAACAAAATTAAAGAAATATGTTTTTAACCTGGATTCAAAGCAACTGAAGTTTTTACAGCTTTCTGTGGGTTTATTCCAGATTCTTTCTTCATGTTTGTTTCTGGTTCTGCAGATTTGATCCAGTAGATCAGAATGGTCTGACTGTCGATCCACTGACAGCAAGTCTGTATTGCATTTTTGAGCTGATCTATTCAGTGATTTCTAGACTAACAGAAGGATTTTTAAAGTCTATTCTCTGAGCTACAGGGAGCCAGAGGATGGAAATGATTAATTATGGGAAACCAAATGGCAGTTCAGTGTAATCAGATCCTCAGAGATGATCCCATATTGGAGAGTCTGTTTTTCCCACCGTTCTTCTCCCTGAATAACAGACAGAAGAACGGTGGGATCACCTGGATAACAGACGGAAAGAGGAAGCGCTCTGTGACAGCAGTGAGGGGAGATCAGATCACGAAGCTTGGAAGAGAACGTACATATAAAAAAATTATCTATTAACCCTTTTAGGGCACTCAGTGAAATACTTTAAATATCTACATTTAAAGCAAACAGTGCACTGCAAAAAACTGAAATCTAAGGGAGTCAATTTTTCTTAAAATGAGCAAGTACTGTAAGTGAGACACTTTACAAATGGAATAAGAAATTTTACATTTAAAATAAGGGAAATAAATGCAATGCAAACCAAATCCTGCTAAGAATTTGTCAATAATGCGTAAAAGCAGTCAGTCAGGCCGGCAGCTGATGTAACGTTCAAGAAGAATAATCAAGTATTTAGAGATTTATATAAGCAACCTGTTGATGAGAACAAAATGTGTCTTTCAGGTTTTAGTGGATGTTCAATGAAATGCCTGGATTTAAATGTTAAATGTTGAAGCTGAGAATAGAATTTTGATCCTGTTATAAAAACTGAAATTTAGATTGATCTGTTGTGTTGTTTATTTAAAGGATTTGAATTGGTGAGAAGAGAAAAACCAAGAATAACGCTGCTCCCTTTGTCCATTTTTTTTTTTTTTTTTGGTCTGCTTGGGTTTTAAAATGTCCTTCAGTGAGTCGTTCCAATTTGCAGCTTAATCGGATGTCACAGCTGGATCCGAGGGGAATTATCTGGCCTCTCAATCTTTATCTCAGTCCAGAGGTTGACATTGTGCTTCACTCACTTCGTCTCACAGTAGCTTCTCTTTGACCTCTACTTGTTCAATATAGCTTTGAGCTTTAACCACAGCAGGGCACATTGTTTATTCTCCTAGAGACGTGACGGTTATAACAGATTTATATTTAAGCCACGTGGCTTTTTGAAGCAGCTTTAAGGTAATTAGGAGGCACTAGATTTTATATCCCTGGTTTAATATAACAAGTTTGAACAGGCATGTTTTACTTGAAACTGTTCAAACTGTTTCTTTTCCTGCTACGTTTGCTGGATTAATGAAAAATTAATGTTCGCTGAATCTAAACATGAGAAAATAAAGGACATTTTAAAACATTAATGCCTGTCATGTGTTTACAGTAAGTGCATTATTTTTTTTGATGCAATACTGTTCTGAATAGAGCATGCAAACTGGGATTGATGATGATCAGTTTGGTCTGAATTTGGAATATTCCAGTTGCTCCAATGTTTCTGTAATTCTGTTATTTCATGTTTAAAGAACCGATTTCCTGGAGATTAAAGCCTGGAAGAAAAAAAATGTCAGTGCTTGATGTGAACCCAAGGTGACCAATTAAGTATTAGTCATATAAATTAGGAAGTCAGTCCTTCCATGGGTTTACTTACTGGCAAATCCTCCCTCTTCAAGTTGGCGATCCAACGACCAACCCGTCCGTGGAGGATCAGGAATCAGAAAGGTGGAATAACTCTTTTTTTCACTTTTACCCGATGTATTCCAGCATCCAGCTGCCATGCACGTGGGCATTGTCAGTTTCACTATAGCTCTGCTGAATTTCAATGGTGAAGTCCTCTGGAAATCTTCAATAATTGTTGTTGATTGCAGATGTGTCTAGTAGTTCCCATTGATTTAGCTTGTAAAGCGGGGAGAATGGCGCTAGGCTTACCGCACCGTGATGTCACTGCTGGAAGATGGCAGGAGGGAGGGGCTACTATATTTGGGCAAAAATGGCCGCTCCCAGACTCAGTGATCGCAAAGAAAATTATTATTTTCATTTTTTTACTGATTAACACTAAATTAATTGTTATTTAAACGCTAATTAATAAAACCGGACTTTTCCTTTATTAGTCAGTCCTCACTGGGGTCCATTTTACTTATAGTAGGGTCATTAGGCAGCTGAATTTCTCATCATACATTAGAAATCTCTTTCCGCCTAGCTTAGCTGGCTAATGTTTTGTGATTTCTACAGCATAATGTTCCTTTGCCATCAGGTGCTCAGACTGTTTTAGTTGGTCTTTGTATATAAAGCCAACAATCTTGGGTAACATCAATAACCATGTAACAACATGTTAATAACATAGAAAGTCACACTATATTACTTGGTAATATATCTTCAAAGCAGTTACCTGCATGCAATTATTACAATTATAATTGTAATTATTACAACAACATTCGGTGGATAATTACCATTAGATTAGAACATACCGGTTTCTATCGGCAACCACCTACCAACGGCTTACCAAGTAAATTGTAAACTGTAAAGTAAACTAATCATCAGATAATAGAGCATTATAAAACTGAACTCAGGTTACATATAAATAAGAGTTTAGTTAAGAAGTTTGGCTTGCTGTCTTCTGGGTTTGGTTGTCTGTTATATGCCGATTAATAAACTGCATTTTACAAGATATAACTAGTGATGCACCGATGCCAGTTTTTGTTCCCGGCAACGATACCTGGCTGTGCCGTATTACCCGATACTGATTCCATCTGTTTTGAAATTGATGTGTGTGTGTATGAAGAACTACATACTACTAGGATGTAAAATAATCACCATCATGGCTTCATGTCAAGCTGCTGCCTACCTTTGTGAAGCAGGAAAAAGACTAAAACAAAGTGAATCCAGTAGAACTTTTATTGCCTACCTGGAATGGGTGACAATAGTTGACGAAACTTTTGGCTCTCAGAATGGTATAAGTGCCCTATTGGTTGGTACTCACCGATACCGATACCCCCATTTTAGTGCTGACCGACCGATACTAATATCGGTACTGGTGCAACACTAATAATAACAAATACATTTTTTTGCTGACGGTGAAATGAAGTAGAAAATCAAAACTTCCCCACTTTCCTCGGCTGGTCCTTGGCAGGTCCCCTACAATTCCTTTCTTTTTAAACATCAATCTTTGTACTAAAATATTATTTCTGTCATGAACCCTGTAATTCAGTGAAAGGGTGGAGTCAGTGTGAAAGCATATGCAGGAGGGGGTCACTGCAGAGGCTGGACGTTGGAGGGAAGTTGGCTGCCATTCAGCTGGCATTAGACTGGGAACGGCCATTTTGAATGGCTGCTACTGTACCTTAAGGGTGTGCAAAATAATCGTCATATCGATGCATCGCGATTCTAATTTTTGTGATCAACTGCATCGATTCTTGAAGGCATAATAATAATAATAATGAATTTTATTTATCATGCACTTTACATTTGATTTCAAATCTCAAAGTGCTACAAAACAAGTTTAAAAGACCATAACATTAAAAACAGAGTAAAAAGACAGTCATTAAAATCAATACATTAAAAGGCATACGTAGCCTATTAAAAAAAATCTAAAATCAACAATTGTAGGAATTTCTAAAAAGGAAAGTTTTTAGTCCTTTCTTAAAATAATCCACCGTCTGTGGGGCCCTAAGGTGGTCTGGGAGGGCATTCCACAGACGGGGAGCTGCGGCTTCGAAGGCCCTGTCGCCCATTGTTTTTAGCCGTGTCCTGGGTGGGGCCAGACGGTGCTGTTGGCCTGACCGGGTCCGGGAAGAGGTGTGTGGTGTGAGCAGTTCAGGGAGATACATGGGGGCCGCACCGTGCACACAGTGATGGGTGTGCAGAAGAATCTTGTACTCTATACGGGCGTGAATGGGCAGCCAGTGTAAAGTGTGAAGGATGGGAGTGATGTGCTGGTGTTTCCTCACCCTCATCAGGACCCTGGCAGCGCTGTTCTGTACATACTGGAGCTTCTGAAGGCTCCTGCCAGAGATCCCGACGAGGAGAGCGTTGCAGTAATCCAGCCTGGAGGAGACGAAGGCGTGGACGAGCTTCTCTGCAGCAGGGAGGGATAGGGAGGGACGGAGTTTAGAGATATTACGGAGGTGAAAGAAGGACGTTTTGCAGATGGAGGTGACATGATTGTCAAAGGAGAGGTGGGGGTCAAGCTTGACCCCAAGGCTTGTAACAGAGGGAGAGAGGGGAATGGTATGACCACAGAATGAAACAGAGGTGAGAGGAGAGGAACGGAGTTGATGAGGAGTACCAGTTTGGATGGCCTCTGTTTTTGAGGCATTAAGCTGCAGGAAGTTTTGACTCATCCACGCCTTTATATCCTCCAGGCAGGAGCTGAGGCGGGTGACAGAGTTGGCGGGGGAGCTGGGAGGAGTCATTTTAATGTAAAGTTGTGTGTCGTCAGCATAGCAATGGAAGTTGACCCCATGCCTGCCGACGACACAACTAAGGGGGAGCATGTAGATGGTGAACAGGGTAGGGCCGAGCACGGAGCCCTGGGGGACCCCACAGGTGACAGTGTGAGGTCTGGATTTTGCCTCCCCCAGGGCCACGTACTCGGTCCTGTCAGTGAGGTAGGAGTGAAACCAGTGGAGGGCAGTGCCAGAGAGACCAATGAAATGCTGGAGGCGGTGGAGGAGGATGTGGTGATCTACTGTGTCAAACGCAGCAGACAGGTCAAGAAGAATGAGGAGGGACGTGAAACCGGAATCAGAGGCCATCAGCAGATCCCTGGTGACTCTGATGAGAGCTGTTTCTGTGCTGTGGGAGGGGCGAAAACCAGATTGGAATTTTTCATACAGATTATTGCATTTAAGGTGGTTGTGGAGCTGGGTGGAAACAACTTTTTCTAGGAGTTTGGAGATGAATAGGAGGTTTGAAATGGGTCTGTAGTTTGACAGAGGTTCAGGGTCCAAGGTGGTTTTTTTTAGGAGGGGTTTAATGAGGGCAGTTTTAAGGGTAGATGGGACGGTACCCGTTTCCAGCGAACTGGCTATTATTTTGGTTATGAGATGACTAATGGATTGATGGTGAGTTTTGAGCAGAGGGGATGGGAGGGGATCTAAAGAGCAGGTGGATGATTTAGATTTGCGGATGATGTTCTCGACCTCCTGCTGCGTTGGCAGAGAGAAGTGTGATAGGAGTTGTGTGGGAGATGTCTCAGGGGTATCAATAGTGGTGCTGTTTGAAGGTGAAAGTGAAGAGCGGATGCTGTCTATTTTTGATATGAAGAAGTCCAGAAACCGGTTGCAGTTTATATCTGTGTGGTTGTAGAATGAGGAGACCTGTGGTTTGAGAATATGGCTGATTGTGGAAAAGAGTTTTCTGGAATTACCTGGGTTATTGTTGATGAGCGAGGAGTAGTAATTGGACCTGGCCTTGGAGAGGGCTGTTGCATAATTTCTGCGATGTTCCCGGTAGGCCAATTTATGCACCGTCAGGCCAGATGTTTTATATGCCCGCTCCAGGACACGGCCAGACCTCTTCATTTGCCTTAGCTCTTTGGTGAACCAAGGAGCGGAACGTGTGAATGTGACAGTCCGGGTTATTACAGGAGCATGAGTATCCAGGATGGAGTTGAGGCTTGTGTTGTAGAAGTCCATTAAGTCACTGGCTGATGAGAGTGGAGAGGGGGAAAGATGCTGAAGATGTGAGCTGAAGGATGAGGAATCAATGTTTTTGATGTTTCTGAAAGTGATATGGCGTTTTGGTTTGGTGAAAAAGGTTATTGGGAGTCTAAATGTAACTGCCAGGTGATCTGAGACACCAACATCGTATATGTTGATGCTGGTGAGTGGAAGGGAGTCAGTTATAACAAGGTCCAGAGTATGCCCTTTGCTGTGGGTGGGGCATGAATCGATTATAAAAAAAAAAAAAGAACAAATAAAATACATGAATGGTTGGCACACATTAGCCAAACCAAGTGGAATACAACTTCCAGTCCAGCAGATGTCGCTGCGGATGTGTTGACGCCAGCTGCTTTGTGTCACAAGCATTTTCGGCCACGGGATACTGCGACGAGTCATATGAAATAAAACATGGAGGACACTGAGAAAATTCGCCCCGCGGCTCCATCACATTTCAAGTCAGATGCTTGGATGCATTTTGATATGATGCACGTCATTTGCAAAAGGGGAAATATACATTTGAATGTTTTCATTTCATTGGTTTAAAGAACCACTGAGGCCATGTAAACGGCACTGATTATCCTTATTTTGTTATTTTAAGTTTGATGAATCCTAAGATCTTTTTGTCAGTGTGTCCACGCCAGTAATAGTAATATTTGTGTCCAGTATTTGTTTCCATGGCAACACCTCCAAAAGTCGTTTCAATAAATACAGCTATGTATGAATTCAGTCGCTTTCAGTTATGAATCAATTGAAGACATGATCCAGATCACACCCAGCCAGTCAGCCACTGGTAAGGGCTGCATCTTTTTCTTACAGTGTTCAGTGAAAATATCGCAATGCATCGCAATATTTCAAGTATCATGATGCATCGTGATAGAATCGCATCGTGGCATGTGAATCGTGATTTGAATCGAATCATGACTTCTTTGCCAATACCCACCCCTACGTACCTGGTAAAAACAGTGTGAAATCTAAGAAGTCTGACCATACATTGTCCACCTAAAACTTTGAAGCACAGCACTTGACAAAATTCTCCGTAAAGTGTTTTGTTACCTAATATAGTGTAACTTATGTTATCACATGGTTATGGATGTAAATGAAAGCGTTACCCAATCCTGACCAGTTTTAACCTGATTTTGATCTTGTCAGTTTTTTTTTCGTCTCACTTTACTCCGTATCAATTGAAATCAGATCTTTTAGCTGGGATATTCTTCTGCTAAACCACTAATGTTTTAGATCCATATCGTCCATCAATCCTTCAAAAACTTTCCACAGGAACTCATGAGTAAGACTACATCAACTTTTATTCTCTGTTCAAAATCTACATACTATACAGGGTTTATGAGTCCTTGTCACAATGCAGAGCAGCGCAAACAGAGCAAGGGTTGGCCGGGGTAAAGGATGCAGGTCATGTTCTGCGCGGTGTTTTGTGTCTTGGTGCAGCTGAGCCTCTGCATTGATCGCTCACTAAGCCCCCTTCAACACAATGAAGGAAGTATCGATTTTGGGCCCGGTGTTTCAGAGCCGCTCACACGCTGATAACGGGACCTTCACCGTGTTGCTAAAAGCCCGGCGCTCCTCCTAAAAGGACTTACACTTTCCTGCACACAAACCGGCCGTAACTTTAAATAACACAACAGTAAACTGTTATAAAAAAGAAGCGGTTTAGTTTATTTGTAGAAAAACACT